CAGCGCCGCGGGCGCTCGCCCGGCAGGGGGCACGCGGGAAGAGGGCGGCTGACGCAGGGCTGCGGGGAAAGGGAACTCCTGAGAACGGAGTATTTTGCGCCTATTTTGTCCTACATCCAATCGTCAGCATCCAGAGACTGTTCCAGCCGCGTCCTCCCTGCTCAAGAGTTCAGATACTAAAAGATCCCAGTAACCATAAAGCTTGTGTACATCTAGAATTGTTAAAACATGTCCCTAGCACACTGGGACGCTACTTTGTCCACTAGCATGCATACAGACCACTAAAACCGTTCCAGTAAGCATTCTGACTAAACAAGATTTGTCTTTGGAATATAACACACCTGCATCAAAAACCACTCCGAGCAGAAGCCAGCCCACAGCTCTTCACGGACAGCTGTAGTCTGATGAATATTCAGGTTCATGACTGAAACCATACCAGTTGCAGCTCCTTCACTGACATCTCGCTTTCTCAGCACCGAGTATCATCAAGCCTGGTACCAGGAACTTCAGTGGCACTGCAGAGCAAAGAATGGAAGGCAGCAGGTGCCCATTCCAGCTACTGCCTCTGTCCCCAAGTCCTACATTGAGCTTTCCATGTGCATTCCGACTGCTGCAGCTGGTGTTAGGCCTCCGTCCTCTGACAGAAATCCAAGCATATGACAAGAAAGGCAGAAACGAAAGCAAAGTACATCTTCCACCTTCCTAACTTCTGTAAGTCACAGATCACAAGGCTGATTTGTCCTAACCGAGCTGCCTTAAGAAAGCTGAGAACAATCATCTTTGGAATAAAACACAAACCTCTGGACTTGGACCACGTTCTTGAAGGCAATAGAATGGCTGTTGATCCCTCTTCTCCCCTGTCCCCCCACCATTTTCTTTGAATAAACACGTCTGTGGACACACAATTTTATGTACTCCAATTATTTGCTATTCTTCACAAATTCTCATGCAGTATCTTGCAATATTTATTGCTGGGAATATTGGCTACGCTACAGTACTTAAGATCAAGTACTAATATAATGTTGGGATCTTTCCACCCCAAGATTTCCATGGGAAAAAAAAAAAAAAAAAAAGGTTATGAAAGTACAAGTTTCTGAAAGCCTTTAATAAAGGACCAGTAACCAAAGACTGAGAACAGCTGATTAATTACTGCAAAGTTAACTACATAAGCTCAGAAAAGAAAAATCTTATTAGTACTTTAAACAAAACAGAGGTAGACAGTAACAATGGATTTCGTGCCAAAATGATGTAAGACATAACACAGACATACCGGGAAACTGATTTTTTCACTCTACATTTAACAGAGAACGTGACTTTCTTTGTGCAAGAAAAATTCTGATGAGTTCTTCTTCAAATACAGTATTTCAAAGAACTGATGTAAAGAATGGAAGAATATTCTTAAGAAGTCAGTTTGTGCACATACTCACCTCTTTTTTAACCTAGAATCTTTTAAGATCTTTACAAATAACAGCTGACTTAAGAAATGAAGATGACCAGACCTTCTTCAGAGAAAAACTCTGATACATTAATAGGATTTCAGCCTACAGTGAAATGTTCTACACTGTCATGCAGTTATCACCCACATACTAATTCTCAGGGTGTCTCAGTTTATACTAGACTAGAAATTCTGAAGATGATTCTTTTCTGTCTACACAACATGGAAATATGGCAAATTCCTATGTACTGAACAGTGTTTCCTTAGATGAAAAGAAGTGGCACTTGCAAAGGTAACCTGGCATAAGAAAAAAAATAATTTAAAATTTTCTCTTACACCCTATAGCTGGATAAAACCTGATCAGTGTTCTCACTCCCTCACTCCCGATACAAAGCCAACTAACTTTTTTCCAAACCTTGAAAATGAAATTAATTCATCAGGCAACTGGACAGTTAAAAAAGAGAAGGATTTTTGCCCTATTTAAAAGCCTGTAGAGAAAGCTTAAAACATTTCTTAGAAACACTTAAGCATTCAAATACATATTCTCTCTTTGAAATTCTCTTTAAGTAAAGGTCTACCAAAAAGTTACTGTGTCTAGTCCTACCTTACACTCTACTAACACGAACAGGCTGGATAAAACTAACCAACTGGCTTTTAAAAGTGTTAGAAACAAATGCTGACCTTCCTAAGTACAGAGATTAGCAAAGGCTTTCTCCCCTTCACAATTACCTTTTACTATGTATTTCACTCTCAGCCAGGGTGTGAGGAATGTAAATTAAAAGGCAATTTTAGGGCTTCTATGAAGACAAAGAGGACTTCATCCTTCAGAGAACAAGTATTTTCCATGCCTAGTTTTATTCTCATTACACCATCATCAAGTGTTGGCAATTATTGTCTTAAAAGCTACAAAAGCAGGATTTCAACCCAGCAACAAATTTAGCATCAACTCCATATTCAGATAGAAGTTACTGTCCTATAGACCTTCTCTAGAATGCTCAATGTTAGCAAATTTCGCTACACATACTCAAGGCATGCTTCATTTCAAGTATCAGAGAATTTTTGCCTAAGGGACTCACCAATAAGTGAAGACATTTATATGCTTAATGGAACCATAATTTTTGTTTTCACTGGAATCAGTTACTATCAGAAGAAAAAGCTTGTTTCTCAGTATATAAAAGTGATGGCAAATGTGAACAGAACAATTACATACATAAGTGTGTGGCATTCAGTGCATGGCTTAAGTAGGGTTTTGTTTGCAGGTTGGGATTTTTTTGTCATACTCTTGTAAAGTGCTTTCTGTGATCCGCCACCAAAACATGCTTGTTGAAGGACAGATGTGAGCATGGTTGACATCACAGGAATCCAAAAATTAAACATTTGCACTATTGCTTTGACTTGAATATTAAAAAAAAACAAAAAAAAAAAACAAAAAACCCCCACATATTTAGATACACAATAGAAGTGTTTCTACATCTCTTATATACAACCAAAGAACATGTTACACTCAGATCATTAGAAGCGGCCTGTTCTGATACAGTTTATGAAGTGACAAAGCTGACAGTAAAGCTATTGCTTTACGTTTGCAATGTAAACATCTCAAAGAAGAATATGCTAACAGTTTCAGAGATGAGATTGCTTAAAATCAGTAAAAACCAAAGCAAGTGGACATATCAACCTTTTGTCTCTACAAGGCTTAGTTTACAAGCTCAGGCTGTACATTTATTCTTTGAAGGACATCTTCTGGCATACAAAAGACAGGATTGACTGCCTTGATTTGTTCTTCTCCTAATAAAGATAGTCCAGCAATTCCAAACAGGGTGTGAAATGGATCCACCTGAGGGAAGAAGAAAAAAGAGTTTGAGTCTGTTTCCAAACATGCTTATGTCCAAATGTTCATTCCATACAAGCTTGTCACTTCTATGGAATGAAGCTTCTGTTTGCTAGCAAGAGACTGAAATCCCCATGGCTGAAGGAGACAATGCAACTGAACAAAACTTCCATTTGTGCTGACATGTGTTGACAGGCAAGACAGCTTCCACAGCATGCATTTACAATACCATGATTTACTTAGAGATGCTTGTCAATTGTCTGCTAAGGCAATTTTCAACTCTGAATTTGGGAGGAAGCACTCATTTGCCTCCATTACCATGAAATGTCACAGGGTAGCAGAAGCAAAGAAAAATAGAGATTTTAAAAGTTAAGTTTGATCATCTATAAGTATCACTTCCATAAATTCCCCATTTGCTCTTCAGCAACCTTATAATGCTCTTCAGCTCTTTAACGGTCTCTGAATACAGAGCTGTGCTGTAAAATCTTCAGAGGGAAGCAGCAACCTATTGTGAAACTGAACGGAAAGATACAAGTAAGAAAAAACCCAGAAGAGACAGGAGCAGTGATTGGTATCCAAGTATTCCGTCAATGTATGAACCTTCCCTAAAAGCATTTATTACCACATAACTGCAATAGATTATGAAGTCTCATGACAAGCATTCTGTTGGTGGAGTTAACCAACCATTCTACAAAAAACCTATCCAAAAGTCCCTGTGCTGTCTCGTGCAGCATACACCCTGTTTGCATTAGTGGAACCTCTGGATCTCGCTGCAAAGGTTCTATACTGCAGTAAACTAAGCCAAATTACCATGTTGTAGCCATATACAGGATCCTCAACCATTGATCACAGCCTAGAAGGTTCAAACTACACTACCATAGCATGTAGTGCTATGCTCCTCAGTGGTTTGGCAACCACATTATTGGTGTTGTCAAAGCTCAGGCTTATGTTTACTTGCTCCATCTCAGAATTGAGTATGTGGCCATTAGAAGAGGGGTAAAAAAAATAAGCAGCAAAATAATAATAATGAACAGCACACTTTAGGAATGGCAAGACAGATGGACAGGCCCAGAAGGGGAGATGCTCCCCAATGGGAAGTGGGCAAGTGAAGTTCCAGATTCAAGTCTGTTGATGAACAATATTTATGTTCAGGGAAACCCAAACTCCTAGAAGATACATTTACTGCCATCTACTCCTTTCTGCAATCTTCTTTAAAGCACGTAACAAGGAAACACCTGCTGAATAACAACCAAGAGCTAATAAGCACAGCTACTAAAGTTAAGTTATTGAGAATTAGCTGCTTGGAACTTAAAAATAAACAAATAAACAAACAAACAATCCCACAAAAAAAAAAAAAACAACGAAAAAGACAGAGCTGTTTTTTGTCAAGTGGTTCAAAACCTGAAGTATAATCACAACATCAAATCAAGACTGGAACCTGGAACTAACTGAAAACAAAACAAAAAAACCCCACCAAACAACAGCAACAAAAAAACCCCCAACACCAAACCAAAACCCACACCACACTACCACCCCATAAACAAATAAAAACCTACCACCCCATCCTAGCCAAAAAACCCATCCTCAAACAAACCAATCCCACAACACCCCACAACCCCCCAAAACAACAGGTCTGTTAGCAATGAGTTTTTATATGAACAAAGCAAAATCCTGTAGGTGTCAACACTTCTATGGCAGCACCCACTTCAACAGTGGATGACAGGTAAAAATAATATGAAATGACCACTAACAATACACAAAACCTCTCCCAGTGGTGCCTGCATTAGATAGAGAGGAAAGGCCCTGCACAGTTGCTCTTCTAGCTAGACAAAAACAGTTCAATAGCTCAAATTTAATCTCAAAGCCAGAAAAGCACAAAGATTTTAAGTGTCAGGCTTCTCATGGAGAATTCTTTTTAGAGTCTTTCTGTGAGCTCTTTAAAAATACAAAAGCCTTCCAATTTTAAGAATACCAAAATACTTCCCAAATGACAGACCAGAATAACGAGATTTCTCCCCCTTCCCCAAGCGGGAATAATTTATCAGCTTGCAAAGAAACAGAAAGCTACTTCAGTTTTTAAGGCATTTGTGGAGAAAGGAGAAGACATGCTCAGCTGCAGTAAGAACAGCTAAAACTTCCCTGTGGCCTCTGACAAATAAGCAGCCAAGTGCTCTATAGGAACTGCACTGAGGTCTTAGAATACTTTCAATTTTATCTGTCCAGCACCCTTGAAAGATAAGGAAAATGGCTTTATTTGCCATTTTACCTGGGCAATCTCCATTATTTCTGCTTGAAACCAGAGAGCACAGAGCAGCTAAACCGTAATTGCTCTCTCAAACAAGCAGGAAATTCGTACCACCATGCTCTGCATAATGCTACCACAAAAGCTTATTCCTCCCTCCTCTTATAGACAAATGCCAGTGAGAGGCAGTTGCTGGGCTGGCACAGAACAACATATACAGCATATAAGGATTCTTAACAAAAACTTACAGCTCATTTAGATCGGGCAAAACCATGAAGAGAGCTGAGGACTACTGAGAGCTGAGGACTACTGCACCAGCACTGGACTCTAGCTTGCAAATCATTTTACAGAATAAACCAAACCCCAAAAACCCCCCCCCCCCCCCCCCCCAAAAACCCAAACCACCAGACACAGTATTTTTTACAGGGATCTTCCAAGTGGTCTTGTGAGAAACAATCTGTGTGGTATGCGTTACGAGAACCACACCAGAATTTGTCAGGAAGGGCAACTGACTTCAGCACGTGCACAGTACCACAGTGCAGCTGCGATATAAAATACGTGCTCCCCAAGCAAGCCTTTGAAAGCAACTCTACCCTGTTCTTTCCTTCAAAGTACACTGCAGGCTCTGCAGAACGCTTACCCCTGGATCACAAGTTGAATTACACTCGAATGAGAAAATTTACTTTCCCAGTTGAAATTTTCAGTTAAGTATTTTATTTAGTAAGTGGTTATTTACCATATCTCCTGGTCTGTCAGCAAATCCTCCCGTCTCCTCATCCTGGCAAGCCAAAATAAAGCAGCGCAGCTTCTCTCTGTCAATCCAGTGTAATCTACCAATCATCTTCAAAGATGCTAGCACCCACCATGAATAACATACATCAGGTAACTGGCAAGCAGAGAAGCAGATTATTATTTGATTTTCTTTTAAACACGACATTGCAAATTTTATTGGTAATTCTGCAAATTACCAAGTGTGCTGACCCAATACTGTTGCAGAGAAACAACACTTGAAGAGCAAGTTCCTGGATGCAGTCTCTTTTCAGAGGACTTCCCTTTTTCAGGAAGGGAAGGTCTCTCCCAAACCTCTTCCCTTCTTTGGGAAACAAAACCACAAGAATGTGATTTTGAAATGTTCTTCACCTTGTGTAGGAGAGGCTAAAAACCACAGCCCCTTTTTCAGGAGTAGGAAACACAAAGAACTTCGTACCAATTACTTTTTGGGGATTTTTTTGGGTGGGGTGGAAGGAGATGAAGGGGGAAGGGGGATGGATGGAGCAGGGGAAGTGTTTTTGGTTGGTTATCTATTTAGCAGTGGAGATATTCGAGGTCACACAATTCCCTAGTGTGATGAGGAACACTATTACACCCAGGATCTACATCCAGGAAAACAGTAATTTTTGTATGAATTCTACAGAAGAGATCATTCCCAATGTCGGAAAATATTAAAGCCCTGATTTAACAAGATACTGGTTAAAGCAGTCAGCAAGACATACTTCCACATGCGTACCTTCCTAAACTGAGGACTCAGACTAAGCGTAACTAAGGACATCATGGCAGATGTTAGTGACAAAATGAAGAGTCAAAATGAAGGCCTGACTTCTTTGAAACACTTCATAGGAGTCATGACGTTTTCCAGAAGTACTTCAGCTTTAGAAAAAATAATCTCTACTGAGGTCTGAGCAAACAAAAAAAGCCACCCAATACCTTCTCTGGTCGTCCATTGAGACCTCCGGAAGGTAACTGACGCTCACAAAGCCACCAACCCAGCAAGTCAACATTTATTTGATGCAACTGGTCTGTTATAGCCAGGAATCCTGTGCAACAATAGATCTAAAATTACAGACATAAATTGGTTGTGTATTTAAAGACTATAGTTAGCAGACTAAATGCAGGAAGATCTCAAAGCAGGAATATAGTCATGCAAACAATACAAATTAAGCACACATTTTAACTTCTGGTTTTACTTTTCCATTAGAAAAGTATGTTATTGATACAGTTGCTTTGTATAAAAGTACCAGCTACATGATGCAATTACAGAACAGTAAGACTTGACTAATATAAGACATTAATGCATGGTTTGGAAAAAGATTCTAAGCGATCAGGCAGAGCCCTACAGTTTTATTTTAAAATCACAGACTCTGAAGCCAGAGCAGGCAAACTGATTTCTGCAGGCTGGATATGGCCTGTATGAAAATTCTGCATCCAGCATATGGTTTGTTCCTCTATGTGCCTCTTACCCTAAGGCTTGCAGACAGCAAACTAAAGACCAACTAAATTCTCTAGCAGAAACAGGTTAGCTCTGATCTTTAACTATCCTAGCAATCCCTCATATATCTAGCCACGTCAGGTTTGCTGCCAATGTGCCACGTAACATATCTCCATTAATCCCCGTTTACTTTTTTCTGGGAAATAACATTTACAGTGCAACAGCATACTCTGGTCACCTTTCATGCAGTCACTAGGAAAGCAGCCAAGCACAAACCACAAGAGACCAAAATCTCAACTGAAGACCGCTCATAATCACCTTTCCCTAATTAAGACACACACCTAAAACGACAACAACAAAAACCGACAACAAAAGCACACACTGACAGGGATGAGCCTATCCAAGAATAGTAAAAAAATAAATGTTATATTCCCGGAAAACTTTTGAACTACTGTGCAGGCAAAGGAGTTGCCTTTTACAGCATTTCAAGGAGTATGTGAATATGCACAACAGATTTAATCCTCCCTGGAAATGCCAGCTGCAAAGAGAGTGCTTTCAGCTACTTAACCTGACTTGCTTGACCAGTAGAACATGGTCCAAATATCTAGACCATATGAGCCAACACCACTATACCAGTTGGTTTGGGTTTATTTTTTCCCCTCCACTTGAGAAGGTTCACGTCTCATTTTTATTTGAGTTCACCAGCTGATAAGTATCAAACAAAATACACAACTGACCTTTATGTTTCACGATTTGTGGCAGACAAAGTGCACAATGTCTCTATTAATACCAGTTTCAAATTCTCTAAAAGATCCTCATGCTAACTGTTTCAATATCAATATGTGAAGACTGAAATACAGTCCTGGAAGTTGTTCCCTTATGATATTCCTCCCCCCCACTCCCACCATGTAATGTTCCAAATCTCTCAGATTTATCTAGCTAGTTGTTTGTTTATTTTAACTAAGGTACTAGAATCAGGCATTTTGGAAACAAGAAAGGTTTATTAATGGATATCACTGACAGATACTGTAAAGAAACGCTTATACGCAGTATGTGATGCTTGCAATTTTAAAACATTTCCATATGAAGAAAAACTCACCTGTCCTGCATGCGATTCGGAACCTGGTCTACAACCAAATCCTCCATCAAAGTTCATACAGGACAAAACGAATTCTACTGCTTTTCCCACATCAATAGCATCCAGCCTTCCCTGCAAGTCAGAAAAGCAACTAATGCACTTTATATACTACCAAGCTTGTTACATACAGAAACTTTGGCAGTATCAAAGAGAAGATTTTGCACTTGTGCACATAATGATTTAGGACTCACCAGAAGTGCAAGAGTTGCTGCAGCACAGAAGGAGAACCTTGTATCTATTTCTCCTAGAAAGTGAGGGATAGGGAATGAAATAAAAGTATTTTTATTAACAACAACAAAAATACACTTAAATCACCACTGAAAGCATGGAATAGTATGTTGAAATACTAGGTTTTACACAGAATAAAAATCGGCCAAAAACTGCTCTTGGATTGTTTCTTTTTCCAGCCCATGAATTATTCCTCACTAATTTAGAAAGTGTACATTAAAACTGTTTACTGCACATAAAACCAAACAGTACATTATGAGCTGGTGTACAGTCACATATATATCCAAATCAGTTCAACTAGTGGTAATTTACAAGTAACTACGTAATTTTAGGGTTTCTGTAGTGTAGATAACCACAGAGCAGTGGACTCAAAAATACTCAGGCACAACTCTTCATCTGCCTTAAATCCAGGCAGAAGCAGAAGCCACTTCTGTTTTTAGAGTAAGGCTGATAAAAGTTGTATACTTACATCTGGAAGCTAAACCAGAAAGGCTACACCTATAGCAGCATGATTGCTCAGGAAGTCTATACCAATGTAACTCTCCTTGCACAAACTCCGAGCAATTAATACTTGAAGTCAAAATTTATAAATGAACCCATCCACAAAAATTCGGGTTTTTGGTTAAACTGATACAAGACTTTTCTTCTTCATCAATTCACTGGCTGATAAATACAAACCAAACCTGTGCTGTTCTGTCCCACATCAGGTACCGCACTCCTTCAGTCTCACTGTAACTTCCTTCCAGAAATAATGTAAATCCATTGTGCATTCGGTATGTTTCAGTACTTTAATTTTATTAAAATGTAAGTGTTCCATGTGGAATTTTTAGAGTGACTAAATATTTTTGCCACAGCTTAACAATATCATCTTTGCTCACAAGGAATTTATGTGCAGAAACAAGATCAGTATTAAGAGAAGTTCATGTGTACAAACCCAATTTTTCTCATTCCCATATAGTGAAAGATCCTTTCACAGCTGACACGCATAAAGATCGTAACTGACTGTCACTAAATAGCACGCAATTTCGTATCCCTTATGAAGTAGTTTATCTGGTATATCAAAGCACTGTCAAGTTACAAATGCTCAAAAGTTTTCTTCTTTCAGAGCTAGACACTTTTAATACAAGAATAAACGTGAAGTTTAGACTACTTATGAAAGGAATGAAACATATCTCTGTCCTTTTTCACAACTCAGAAAATAACTGTTCACAGACAAAACATAAGCAAAAAAACCACCCAAGGGAACTTAAGCTTGCAGACTTAATGTGTCAGCCAAGCCGCTAAATTTTAAAGATCTAAAAATTACCCCATTTGTCTCCAGCAAATGATCCATCTTCTTTTTGCAAGCTCTGTATATATTCAACAATTTTATTTACATCAACAACATGTAGACTATCATACAAGATAAGAATCTGGGGAAAAAACAGACAAAGTAACAATCAAAGAGAGGCAAAAAATTAAAACCCCCTATTTCTTTAAAAAACCAAACATCCTGGATTTATAAAAGACTTCATTTAACTGTGAATGCTATCTGATAAGGTTTATTAAAACAAAGTGTCATTCACTGCAGTTCATCTATCTCTGTCTAAAAAATGTCAAGAAACTCTCAAGTGCAAATATAGCCAATTCAAGCTGAACTCATTTGTTACTTTCCAACTTCCAGCTCTCTTTTCAAAAGCATAATCAGGTTTATTTGTTTTTATGTCAGCATTATGTAGAACAGAGATTTAATTATGGTTAATTTTGTAATGGGATAACGACATCCTAGACTACAACTGTGTAGTTTGTGCACTGCTGCTACTTGGATATATGCAAGTGTAAGTCGAGCAGCTAGTTACTAACAGCACTTACAGTCCAAGCCTGTCAGCAATAATTACTTTCAAATTATAAGATTTTTATTTACATTCAGTTTTTCAAATATAATGATGAGAACCAAACTGTGGTAATTTAAGTATGACCAATAAGATTAGACACTATCTGTACAGTCAATATATTCTGGGAGAAAAACAAAAGGTCATAGGGAACATAAAGTTCTCTGAGCTAACACTGATCTGAACCAGTAAATCCATATTACAAAGCAACACTGTTTCCGAGCCCCGGCCAGCTTCCTGGTTTTACTCATAGCTTGCATAATATGTAATGAGAGTAATCAAGAATTTATTATAAATAGCATAATAGAAAGAACAGTTCAAACTAAGCAGTATTATAGTGCCAAGCCTGAAAAATACTTCAAACACCCAGAGTTAGCTGGAATCGATTTCAACTGTTAGACAAAATTTAAGTCTTAAGGAAACGAAAAAAAAAGAACATACAACTCCAACAGAAAACATATAACCATTGCATACTCCTTAAAAAGCAAATCTGAACAAATTACTATTAATAGTCACCAAAGCAAGATGTGACATGACCCTTTACGTATTCTGGGTATGTTAAGAACATGCATGTTCAATAAGACATGCTGTTGTAATGAACGGAAGCATTACATCGGCACTTGCTAACAGTTCTCAACTTTGCACATCTAGAGCTGCATGCAGTTAGCATGAAAACATCCTCTAGTAACATCAAGTATTTGTTTAAGAACGAATATCTCTAATAAGTGAAAGTAAACAACCTCAAATTGTATCCCCTTCTTACACTGCACTAGAACTTGTGAAGGGAGCTTGACTGGACAGTACGGAACATCTCAGACGTCACAGCCTAAAGAAACTTTAGTTTCCTGGTTCTCACAGTATCAGAGTAATTCTAGAGCTAAACTGGTAATAAATACCAACTCAGAGCAGATAATACATGCCAACACTAGTCACTGACCCAAGAAAACACCACTCTTCTGTCCTACCTAAGGGTTTCAAATCCAGTGCCTTAAATCCAACACACTGTCTTCCTAAAACAGGATGTTCTTATTTATTTGTAACACCAGTTAAATTTCTTCCATAACACTGGACCATAAAGAAGTTATGCAGCAATCAAACATCCAAGCCTTTTTGGTATTTTTTTCCACAACATGAGTTTTATATGAGAAGAACAAAACGCAAAACAAACAAAAACCCCAACAACAAAACAAACAAGAGAGCACGAGAAATTAGATCTACAGTGGAGATGGCTCCAGTGAAAAACTTAGATTGAGAATTACTGTTTCTCAGAGAAAGAGTACACACCACGTAAATCAAATGCTCAGGAGACTGGTATCATTTTTAAGTTATACACAAAAACACAGATTTGAGAAACACTGCAGGAACCAAGTGCTACAGTGTTTCTTTTGTACAGTACTAACGTCTAAACACACTATATATAATTATACATACTACATAGTTTAGATATATACTTACTTATGTGTATTATTTATTAATATGTTACAATATCTAGCAATCACAACTACAGTAATGTATACATGAAAAAAAATCCCAAACTTTAATCTTATTCTGGTCATAATTATCTTTCACTTTGATGTACACTAAAAATATTTTAGAAAATCCAAATTTTATTTACCAAAAGCTTGAGCAAAGCCTGTAGCTAAGAAGTATTTCCAAAAAACTGTAGAAAAATTATCAAGAATGCATTAACTTATCATCAAAACCCACAACTTGCCAAAATCTGGCAATTTTGTCGGAAATGATACAGCCAAATGCTGGAGTGTTGTGTGTTTGATTTTTTTTTGAAGAAGGAACTGATACAGTTTTTCCACTGGCATCCCGCAGGACCTGGTTCGTCAGCCTGCAATCATCAAACGCAGTAACTGCAATGGGTTTTTTCCAAAATTACCCTGTTACGTTTACCTGGACAGCACTGAGGGTATAGAGGAGATGAGGATCATGACCTGTGCTGGCACTTATTCCACCACATTCATGTTGACATGATTCGATGAATTCCAGAATTTCTTCTTTGTTCATTCGGTGCAGCTGCCCCATGAGATCCATTGCTGTCAGCCCCCAGTAAACACCACTCATCCTCAAATACTCCGACATACAGTATTCCTAAGTAGTGCATTGTTTTAGTTCTTCATCAGGTAAGCACATCATCAGTACAGAACAATGAAAATACTACAAACTGTAAATGTTAACTAATGCATGCCAACCATCTTTCCTCCCATTAACAACTTATTAAATAGCAGCCACTCACACATACTCTGCAGATGATACATTTGCATACGTACCGGCACACATATATGTATCTACATATACTACATTCCCTTCCTCCCCTGTATTTTCTAGTTCAAAGTATCAAGCCCAATATCAAATTGAACACATACAGGTAGTTGAGCACCAATTCAGATGTTATCCTGGCATCCAAACTACCACTCAAATTGCCACCCCATCTAGTCTCAAAAATAACAAACCTCACATTTAATGAAACTTACTGCCAAGTGCCAAAACCGTCACAATCTAAAGTTGAACTAGGAAATGAAATTTCATACTGAATTCTCTTACATCGATCACATCACCCACACCACCCATAAACATTGTTTTCTACTTTCTGAGCACAGGAACAATCATTAGCAATAGTGCTTAGAGTTCTTTTGTAAAGTAAAGGAAACTGCACGCTTTCTTCGGACACACTGACATCTTTCATCTGCTGGAACTGGAATCCGGTGTGGACCTGATAGCCTGTGGCTGTAAAACTGTTGCATGTTAAACTGTTTCTCAAACCCAGGAGGCACGGGGCAGTGCTGTGGTGGGATTCAGCATGCTGACCCACCAAAAGGGCAACGTGTAAATGTAGCTATACTCCTTGTGCATTCTAGCAGGTGAAGATGCAACAAGCAGCTCATTTCTCAGGTCTCAGAGTAATTCTAGAGCTAAACCGATAATCTTCAAATTTATACTCAGATAATACATGCCAAAACTCATCACAGACCTTGAGAAATTAACAAAGACTTCCTTCTTTTGTACCTGGGATTGCAGGGCGAGAAGGAACTGGCTTGTGAACAAGTAAACAAGGGCTATTATGGCTGTTAAAACCACAGCTGCACCGACACGAGTCAATACCTACATAATCATCTTTCTTTGTTCCATACGAAGCTATATAGTCCGCGTGTTTCTCCGAGAGCAACGTGCTTGGGGCATCGGGTTTTATCACAACATCCTTCTGCGGTGTCCCCTGTAAGAAGGACCAACAAAACGCCGGTTGTGCGGTCAGTTCAGGCTGTGGCACCTGGGTGTAACTCAGCCGCCACCAGCACGCTGACAACACGACACGTCTCTCCCGTGAACACGGGCTGACT